ATGTGGCAAAAGTATTGAGTGAACATGACCAAATAAAAGAAACATTTCATTATATATTTTCATTCGAGTCTACATAGGTACTCCATAGTTCTTTATATTATCCCCATGTGACAGGCATCTTGCATTATTTTACCTTAGCAAAAGCTGAATAGGAAAAATGAGATGCCACGGTAGCAGACGTAGCACGAGCTGCCATATGCCCCAGAATGCATTTTGCTAACCAAATCAAAACACCTAACCAAAGATACATAACCTGACCTACAATCTACTTCCTACAACCTACAACCTTGAACCTACCACCTTCAACCTATGATATCTCACATGGCAGCTCGTGCTATGTCTGCCCTACCAGTACCGAGGCCACTTGGTATTGTTTGTGGAGGACCTGACCTCCTCCAGCCCGGAGTGTAGTTGATGTTAGCTTGGTTTTAAATTTAAGTGTATAGTAAAATGATAGATCAATTGATCTACGTAGCAAGTGTGCGGCAGACTTGTGTGGCATCCTGTGCAACCATGGACATTTAGTGGAATTAAATGGATAGGAGGGTTTATAAGTTGAAATGGAAATGGCAATTTGGTTTAGGCGATGTATCTAATCTTCAGTCTCACTTCATTCAAGATCACTCAAAGAAATTTGCTTTCAAATTTCAGTTATTTTTGTTTACTTTTATTAAAGCATCCCCAGATATACAGCATATACTTTTAAAAAGCAATCCCTTTTTGCTAAAATCTAACATCAAGTCATTGTCCAAAACATTTATGTTTTGTAATATCAACTATGATTATAATGCATATTTGGAAGGTTCTATGAATATAAACAGCTGCAATCAATTGTGCTCATTTTGTGAACTTATTTTCATGATAAACATTTCACTTGAGTGAAACGTCCACTTTGATATTAATTGAATATGGTTTGAACTAATGTGTTAGAAAAATATCATGCAGGTATTTAATAAAAATCTGAATAAGGCTTGCTGATTACCTGCTGCAAAGGTGTAAATTGTTGTTATTCTGTGTTTCAGGTCACTGTCGAGAACAAGAAGCCAGTGGATGGAAGCTGCACATGCCCAAATGGTCAGCATCGGTGCTCCCACATGGCTGCCATCCTTCTGTATGCACAGAAGAACTGGTCGCAGACTGATCGGCAGTGTCAATGGAACCGAGGATCCAGCAACGCGACAATGTTGAAAGCAAAGGAGATGTTCCCCCAGGAAGACAGTTCTTTGCTGGTGAGCTCTGTCAAAGAGGACCAACTGGCATGGCTGTATGACCAGGTGAGGGAGCAGCCATGTGGGCTGGCATGGCTGTTGGCTCCAGAGTCTCAGCCTTCCCCAGAAGAGAAGGTACCAAACATCGACAGCATCCTAACTAGTGCTGAGTTTCATGCATCAGCTGACAAGTCCCACTTCCTTTTAGCAATGCTGTCTCTTTCAAAGGAAGAGATTGCAGAGGTGCAGAGGGTGACCAGTGGTCAGGTCAAAAACCCCAAGTGGTTTGTTGCTAGAAAGGGAAGGCTGACATCGAGCAACTTCGGCCTCGTCTTGAAGGCAATTGCCAGAGGAAGATACCCAAAGTCACTATTCAAAAGGCTCCTTGGTGGCTATGACCCATCCGGCAGTGCAGCTGTAAAATGGGGACGAACCCACGAAGCAGCTGCAAAGCGAGCGTATGAAAATCGCACTGGAAAAAAGGTGGAAGAGAATGGGATTTTTCTCTCTGAAGATGGTATGCTTGGGGCCTCTCCAGATGGTGTAGTGGGGGATACACTCCTAGAGGTGAAGTGTCCGTGGACACACAGGTGTCGAACGATCCAGGAAGCCGTGCAAGCAGATGGAAAGTTTTTCTTGGACGAAAACCTGAATCTTAAAGAAGATCACGATTACTTCCACCAGGTACAGGGCCAGATGTGGTTAAGTGGCTTCACCAAGTGTGACTTTGTTGTCTGGACGACTCGTGACTTACACATCGTTACCATCGCCAGAAGCGATTCATGGACTGTAAACCTAGAACTCCTAAAACAGTTCTATAGGGTCCACATGGTGCCGAGCATCATCGGGTCCGCTTAACCCGCAGGGCTCATGCCTGCTGGGCGATATGAGATTTGCCACTGTGATGTAATGTGTACAGGTGCGCGCCAGGCTGGTTGTCGTGTTTCACTTTCAAACGTCAAACTGTGTGTAATGTACAGGTGCGTAAGTAAATGTGTGTCACTGTACAGGTGCGCGCCAGGCTGGTTGTCGTGTTTCACTTTCAAACGTCAAACTGTGTGTAAATAATGCAAATAATAAACATACATGTTTGTGGACAGTTTTATTGACAAGTAAATGTCGCGTACCACAGCGCACAGCTGAAACAATTTCCAGATTATCATACTTCCATGACAGCTATAACTCAAGAAGTGTTTCATCAGACAGTGAAGACATATCAAACAGTTCGCAAACCAGTTTAGGACAAAATGCACAGTTTCCCGCGATAGTACTCCGGGCGTTGGTGAGAAAAACACAGACAATGCTATTGACTTACTTCAATTGATAACTACGCAAACGTTGCATCTAACAGGGTGATACCACTAATAACGCGCAGTTTGCTACCCGGCTTAAGAGGACATGTTGCTAAGTTTCTCGTGGCTTATGATAGGGCTCTGGGCGGTGGTGAGGAAGGCACAGACACGAACTATATTGTCTATCATATTCCTATACTGGTGGGGTATGCCATCTAAAATGGTGTAATACTTCAGCCGCTGAATCGCGCGCTCAACGTGCACGCGGGCTTCGGCAACTTCCCTGTTGTGCATCACCTCTTGCTTGGTGAACTGAGGCTGAAATAGATACGCAGGTGTGTTGACGGTGACGCCATCAGGTACAATGTCCTTGATAGGAAAACCTTTGTCAGCCAGGATGAGGTCGCCTGTGGTTAGCTGCTCCAACAGGCCGCTAGTCTCCACGATGTGCTTGTCAGAGGCATTGCCGCCGTAAACGTCACTGACAAAGTTCACAGTGCCATTGGGTGCCACCCCAACCATGACCTTGAAGGTGTTGGCAGCTTTGTAAGCACTGTAGGTGCTTGAGCGGCCCTCACAGCTATCAGGTCGCTGAATCCTAATTTCTGTGCAATCAAGTGTCGTCCTGCAGTGCCTGAACTTCCTGAACGATGCTGGCATAGATTGAGAATTCTTTTCTCTACTAGGCATACCCTTCCCAAAAATAGGCTTGAACAGAGCCTCAGCGAAGATGGACACAAATGTCCTGAAGACATTTGTAACGGTGGCTACACTCTTGTTAAATCTCACGCTTAGATCTGTGTGCCCAAAGTTGTGTCGCAGTTTCATCAACACCAGGAGAATTTGGTCCTCTAATGTCATCGTTGTGACCTTGAAGGTGTGGTATGTAAAATCACACATGCTCACATATGTGACTAGAGTTTCAAACATTGCTCTGCTCAAACTAGTATAGTAAGTTACTAGCTGTTCGCTATGGCTAATCTGGTTGTAGCAGAACCTCTGCTGCTGATAAGCTGCTGCAGTTTCAAGTCGTTTGATATGCTGTTTGAGAAGCTCGTTCTCGGCAGACAACATGGCCTCACTATGCACAGGTGGTCCAAGGACAGCATCTTCCATTTCCACAGCTGCATCTTGTCTTCTGTTTCCAGGAGAAGAGTGATGGGGTCTGGTATCATCAGGCAAGTTGATCCGCTTCCCTTCATTCCATGGAAACCTCATTGGACCTGCTTTTTTGCCATTAGGGAAGTGCCACGAACAGATCCTTGTGTGTTCGGTAGGGGTGAAGTTCTCCCTCCTGCAACAGAAAAAAGGGATTACATGATGATTTAGATTAGGCATGCATGATTAGGATGACGCAAGTTACAAGCCCTTCAAGTAGAAAATATCCACAAAAACAGGTTCATGCGATTGTTTCTGAAATGAAGCTTGCCAGTTTATTAATAATTTTCAATTTGAATGTTACAAAATGTAAATGTTTCAATGTTCATATCCAAAACATACAACAGACTTGGTAAATATATTTGTGCTATGACTACTGTTACTGCTATTTATGGAGTACCTACGCACCATGCACAAGTGATTGACGATCAAGGCTCTGAGTTAACCTTGTGAATCATTCCGTAATGATGCCAAAAATAAATATTTATCATTATCTGATATTATATACTCTATAGCTTTTATAGAAATAGTTAACAATAATTTGATGTTTTTATTAAAAGGTAAGATGCCATATTTCCCTTGCACGATTTATGGAAAAGATTTATGATGGGATTTATGAAAGCTTGACATGTAAAATATGCTGATTCTCAAAATTCTTACTAACCTTATCGCACGAATGTAGCGTTGACGGATCAGTTTGTTGCTGGGAAACCTGTAGAACGCATATTTGTTTTTGTCCCCTGACCGGTTCGTACAGCCTGGGACACAGCAATTCACCATCTCGATGTTCAAAGCTTAAAACAAGCGTGCGTCTTGTGATAGCTGACCTGAGGTCTGAGAAACACAGTAGGTATATCTAATTAATAACCCACTCCAATTCACTACCTATTCACAGCTAGTACATTTGCCCATTGGTGCCCGTGTTATAAACGTAATGGCGCAATGTCTTACCTGCGCCAAAATCGCACAAGTTTTTTTAATTTAGCAGCCGTGCAAAAAAATCATGTTTTTTGTGCAAATCAATGAATATAAATGCATTTAAGTTGACCAAAATGACAACTTAATACCATTTCCATTATTGAAACATGACATAACATCGGTAAACGTCCCCAAATTCTTGCATTTTAGTTATGAATCGTTTGGCCTATCTCTACAACATTAGCGCAGTCAGCTGTTGGAACCGTGACGTCATCACTTAACAGCCCGAGGGCTGTTAAGTGTGACGTCACGGTTCCAACAGCTGACTGCGCTAATGCTGTAGAGATAGGGGATTATCTAGAAAGGTGTATTGTGGCGATTCAAAAATTGTCCGACCCTGATTTGGAATTTCTTTGGAAACTTAGATGGATGAATAACATTTCTGAAATTGATTTGCTTCAAGTTTCATCGAAATTTGGCTGAAAAAGCCCAAAGAAATGTGAGGCTACTAAATTCACAATGGTGTTAGCATTTGTGGCGCATATGTGACATTTGGTGAAAACCACGTGAAAACAATAGTACGTTACGGACATTTGCACGTTTCTGGGCTGCAGGCTGTGTTTGACGTGTTTGGGCATGGTGTGAGCTATCATGGCCTTCGTTAGTGTTGCAGCCATAGGTGATTTTTTTCAAACTATGTCCAGTGTGATTGAGAAGGGTGAAAGAGCATTGGATGGTGGCAAAATCCGATCCATTGCCCTGCAGGATGGCAAATACATTGTGGCTTCTGTTGAGGCCAGCATGAAGAAAAGGACCTATGATGTTCAAGTGAGTATTTCTTCATGCTTGTGATAGGCATTTCAAGTACTTTATGACCCTAGAGAAAAAACCATTAGCAATGGTCTAATGGTCTAATGGTCTATATGGAAATTGAAACCCTAATGGTCTAATGGTCTAATGGTTTGTAGTGGTCTAATGGTCTGATGGTCAGATGGGCTAATGGTCTAATGGTTTCTTATGGGCTAATGGTCTGATGGTCTAATGGTCTGATGGTCTGATGGTCTAATGGTCTGATGGTCTAATGGGCTAGTGGTCTAATGGTCTAATGGTTTCTTATGGCCTAATGGTTTCTTATGGTCTAATGGTTTCTTATGGTATGATCACCGTACCATAAGAAACCATTAGACCATAAGAAACCATTAGGCCATAAGAAACCATTAGACATGTTTTCTGATGGTCTATGGGTTACCAATGGTCAATGGTAACAATGGTTTCTGGTGGTATCTTGTTAAAACATTCATATGGTGCAAATCCGATCTATTAACATTGGCATTCCACATGGTAATACATGACATAACGGTCCCCGATTCCCCAGCATTCATTTTTCTCTGCCATGTTCGGTCCCATGTATGTAGGTACAGGCACGGATCTTTTTCAGCCGTGTATATTTTCACATTTGGAGCCTTGTCTTTTTTCCGATGAAGATCTAGGAATTTTGTTTCATTATGAAGCGGGATCATTTTCAGTGTATGCTCCGCCTGTGTCTTCTGCCCCTCGCTTCATCATCTGTGTCCGTAGTTAACCTGTAACAAAAGTGCACCTTTACATGGTTGTCTTTCTTATTGTTAGTTGATCTTTACATGTTTTTTTTTATATTTTTTATGCTTTTGATTATTTGATCATAAGTTGAAATTTTTAATCTTCTATAAAAAGGAGAACTGGTAAATGCACAGGGTGGCTCACGTAAAACACCTGATTTGAGACTTGAATAACTTCCTTCAGTCTTAATTAAATTGGAAGATATTTTCACACAATGTAGGTGCATATGTTGAGGATTATATTCATCCAATTTTCAGACAAATCCATTCACGTTCAGCTCAGTTGTGCATCTCGACGTGACCCCATCGTTTTCAGTAACTTTCTTGAGGCGCTCGTGGTATGCCAGCGTATATGTATTCCTGCGCATCTCGACGGTGATCCCTGCAAAGGCGGCGATCTAACCCGACCTTACAAGTTACAACTCCAGAATGCTCGCCGACCACGTCACGTATAATACCTTCGAGTTCATAAACCCCTATATTAAAAAATCACATGGGGTGAGGTCGGACTTTACTTAACCTGCCCTGGCTATACCCTGGTTACCGCGCTTGCCCAATCTGCTTTGCCGAATCTGCCCTGCCCCAGCCCATCGCGCCCGACCGACCTCACCCCGCGTGACTTTTTCATGTAGGGGTTTGTGGAGTCGAAGGTATACGTGACGTGGTCAGCGAACATTCTGGAGTTGTAAGGTCGGGCTAGAGCCGCCTTCCCAGGGATCACCGTCGATCAGATGCGCAACTGCAAGGAAGCCGCGCTGGCATTCCACGAGCGCCTCGAGAAAGTTACTGAAAACGATGGTGTCACGTCAAGATGCACAACTGAGCTGAAAGTGAATGGATTTGTTTGAAATTTGGAAGAATAACCCAAACAAGCACCTACATTGCGTGAAAAAAGCTTCAATTTGAAAGTCTCACGTGAATTTTCATACAGCCTGTAACATATGCACTATGTACCTATATTAGGCACATTAAACATTACTTACTTCTCAGTTCTGATGGCAATTTTTGGGGGGTGAGCCTTTGCTTCGTCTCACACCCTTGAATCCGGTTCCAAGGTGTGCAGGCGACTGACCGGTCTGCTCTTCCCCCTCCTCTCGGTTCTCGTGGCGCTTCCTCTCCTGCTGGCGGTGGGTCTCTCGGGTCTCTCTACGACCTCACGGCGACGCTCAGCGTTCCGCAACGCTTCGGCCTCGCGCCGCGCCTGCGCTAGCCCTTTACGGCGATGGCGCTGGGCAACGGCGTTCGCATCCCGAGCCCTTTGGCCCTTTTGGCTCGCACGGCGAGGCATCTCCAAACGTTCTCACGCACACAAAGTAAACACACTTTAACTACAAAGCACTACATAATTAATAACACTTATGGCGGTAAAAAACAGCGGAATCTTTCTCGGGTAACACCGTTTCACCGATCATTAAAGCAGCACAGAAGGACGCGAATTGTAAACAAAAATTTCACAAGCGGCAAATAAAACTGAAAAGATTTGCCTTGGATTTGCCCATTGTTGCTATTCATTCTTTATTATTTCTTAAGCATCCTCGGAATTAGGCGAGTTGTGTTCTTTAACACACTGGTTCCTCTGAATCAGGTGATTTATTGGTGAGTTACTGACAATGATGTTTCATGATCTCCCAGGCAGGAAAATCGCATAAGTTACCGCAAAACGCGGTATGCGGCATTCGAATAACCGTAAAAAATAATGGAGAAAATGGTTCTAAATACTAATAGGTCAATAATAGGTCGATGATATAATAGGCCAGTTATATAATAAAATACTAATAGGTCAAAGGTCAGGTCACCAGAGGTCATCAGAAGATCAAACTTTGCCATTTCTTAACAAATTTTGACCAACCGAAGCAGAACTCGGGAGCCAATAAAGCCTGCAACGCCGCAGGAAAACGCATTCGATAGCTTTTTTCGAGTAGGTAGTAGAGATGTCAATCGGATACCAACTTTTTGGTATACCGATACCAAACCGATACCAACTTGGTATTTGGTAATTCAATCGTAATCAGTAATGTGTTTGGTATTTTGTTGGTATCATAAGCCCTCACTAACGTATAAGAGGCTAAGAAATCGGTAAAAAGTTGGTATTTCCCTCAGTTTCCCAAGTTGGTTTGGTTTCGGTATTTCCCCATGGTTTTGGTTGGTATTTGGTTTGGTATCGGTATTCCGATTTTCCGTAATTAACATCACTAGTAGAGTAGGTAGTAAAGTAATCTTGGGCGGTGCCGCAGAGGCCCAGCAGCCGCCGGGTTAACCCTCTTTCTGGAATGTGTCCCCAGATCTGAACTAAATGAAGGCTCCAATTCTAAAATAGCTATCTTTATGAAAAATGTGTTTTTTCATAACTTTTCACTCAAGGAAGGCACATTTATTTTGCCAGCATCGTATTCATCTCGACGAGATGCATCGAAATAACTCCAAGTTGACAATTGACATTGAAAGGTCACTTTAAAAATTTGACAAAGTCAAGGTCATGACCTTACTGGAAAGTCATGTTGCATTAGCAGTCGATCCTTATCGTCACGCTGAACACATCTATATGAGGTATTTTAATCGATATAGCATGTCTCTATCTCTGAAAAGGTTGCAAAATTGACCTGACCATAGGTCACAGATAGCAGAATTCCGAGATATTTATTTTATGCCCGCTGATACCCTTATCCAACTCTGAAAGTTTCAAAGCGATTGTTCAGTCCGCTGTCGATGCAGCACTCCTTGCATATTAAAGCACAGTTAGTGTTCAATAACATATTCAAGATCCATAAAAAGCCATTACAGGACCATTAAAAACCATTAGAACACCATTAGACCATCACAATTTTGAAATTATCATAAATGAAAAGATGCCATCAGAACACCAACGGAAACCATAAGAATGCCCGTTTGGAGCCCAAAATCAAAACTATTGAAAACCATTAAGAAACCATTAGACCACCAAGTATACCATTTGAAACCATTAGCGACCATCAGAAACCATAACAATACCATTAGAGACCATTATTAGACCATTAGACCATCAGATCAAATTCCATTAGAAACCATAAAGCACCACTGGAGACCATTAGAAACCATTAGGACACCATTAGAGACCATTAGAGCACCATCAATTTCCATTAGAAAACCGTCAGAAACCATTAGACCATCAGATCAAATTCCATTAGAAACCATCAAACACCATTGGAGACCATTAGAAACCATTAGGACACCATTAGAGACCATTAGAGCACCATCAATTTCCATTAGAAAACCATCAGAAACCATTAGAATACCATTAGAGATCATCAAAAACCATTAGAGACCATTCAAGACCATTAGAAACCATTAGAAACCATTAGAAAATCCTAATGGTTTCTAATGGTTTTTTCTCTAGGGGAAATCTGCCTTCATGAAATCGTGGCATGAATGTGGGAACAAAATTGCAATTGCAATTGAGAATGAGGTGAATGTGGCAAAAGTATTGAGTGAACATGACCAAATAAAAGAAACATTTCATTATATATTTTCATTCGAGTCTACATAGGTACTCCATAGTTCTTTATATTATCCCCATGTGACAGGCATCTTGCATTATTTTACCTTAGCAAAAGCTGAATAGGAAAAATGAGATGCCACGGTAGCAGACGTAGCACGAGCTGCCATATGCCCCAGAATGCATTTTGCTAACCAAATCAAAACACCTAACCAAAGATACATAACCTGACCTACAATCTACTTCCTACAACCTACAACCTTGAACCTACCACCTTCAACCTATGATATCTCACATGGCAGCTCGTGCTATGTCTGCCCTACCAGTACCGAGGCCACTTGGTATTGTTTGTGGAGGACCTGACCTCCTCCAGCCCGGAGTGTAGTTGATGTTAGCTTGGTTTTAAATTTAAGTGTATAGTAAAATGATAGATCAATTGATCTACGTAGCAAGTGTGCGGCAGACTTGTGTGGCATCCTGTGCAACCATGGACATTTAGTGGAATTAAATGGATAGGAGGGTTTATAAGTTGAAATGGAAATGGCAATTTGGTTTAGGCGATGTATCTAATCTTCAGTCTCACTTCATTCAAGATCACTCAAAGAAATTTGCTTTCAAATTTCAGTTATTTTTGTTTACTTTTATTAAAGCATCCCCAGATATACAGCATATACTTTTAAAAAGCAATCCCTTTTTGCTAAAATCTAACATCAAGTCATTGTCCAAAACATTTATGTTTTGTAATATCAACTATGATTATAATGCATATTTGGAAGGTTCTATGAATATAAACAGCTGCAATCAATTGTGCTCATTTTGTGAACTTATTTTCATGATAAACATTTCACTTGAGTGAAACGTCCACTTTGATATTAATTGAATATGGTTTGAACTAATGTGTTAGAAAAATATCATGCAGGTATTTAATAAAAATCTGAATAAGGCTTGCTGATTACCTGCTGCAAAGGTGTAAATTGTTGTTATTCTGTGTTTCAGGTCACTGTCGAGAACAAGAAGCCAGTGGATGGAAGCTGCACATGCCCAAATGGTCAGCATCGGTGCTCCCACATGGCTGCCATCCTTCTGTATGCACAGAAGAACTGGTCGCAGACTGATCGGCAGTGTCAATGGAACCGAGGATCCAGCAACGCGACAATGTTGAAAGCAAAGGAGATGTTCCCCCAGGAAGACAGTTCTTTGCTGGTGAGCTCTGTCAAAGAGGACCAACTGGCATGGCTGTATGACCAGGTGAGGGAGCAGCCATGTGGGCTGGCATGGCTGTTGGCTCCAGAGTCTCAGCCTTCCCCAGAAGAGAAGGTACCAAACATCGACAGCATCCTAACTAGTGCTGAGTTTCATGCATCAGCTGACAAGTCCCACTTCCTTTTAGCAATGCTGTCTCTTTCAAAGGAAGAGATTGCAGAGGTGCAGAGGGTGACCAGTGGTCAGGTCAAAAACCCCAAGTGGTTTGTTGCTAGAAAGGGAAGGCTGACATCGAGCAACTTCGGCCTCGTCTTGAAGGCAATTGCCAGAGGAAGATACCCAAAGTCACTATTCAAAAGGCTCCTTGGTGGCTATGACCCATCCGGCAGTGCAGCTGTAAAATGGGGACGAACCCACGAAGCAGCTGCAAAGCGAGCGTATGAAAATCGCACTGGAAAAAAGGTGGAAGAGAATGGGATTTTTCTCTCTGAAGATGGTATGCTTGGGGCCTCTCCAGATGGTGTAGTGGGGGATACACTCCTAGAGGTGAAGTGTCCGTGGACACACAGGTGTCGAACGATCCAGGAAGCCGTGCAAGCAGATGGAAAGTTTTTCTTGGACGAAAACCTGAATCTTAAAGAAGATCACGATTACTTCCACCAGGTACAGGGCCAGATGTGGTTAAGTGGCTTCACCAAGTGTGACTTTGTTGTCTGGACGACTCGTGACTTACACATCGTTACCATCGCCAGAAGCGATTCATGGACTGTAAACCTAGAACTCCTAAAACAGTTCTATAGGGTCCACATGGTGCCGAGCATCATCGGGTCCGCTTAACCCGCAGGGCTCATGCCTGCTGGGCGATATGAGATTTGCCACTGTGATGTAATGTGTACAGGTGCGCGCCAGGCTGGTTGTCGTGTTTCACTTTCAAACGTCAAACTGTGTGTAATGTACAGGTGCGTAAGTAAATGTGTGTCACTGTACAGGTGCGCGCCAGGCTGGTTGTCGTGTTTCACTTTCAAACGTCAAACTGTGTGTAAATAATGCAAATAATAAACATACATGTTTGTGGACAGTTTTATTGACAAGTAAATGTCGCGTACCACAGCGCACAGCTGAAACAATTTCCAGATTATCATACTTCCATGACAGCTATAACTCAAGAAGTGTTTCATCAGACAGTGAAGACATATCAAACAGTTCGCAAACCAGTTTAGGACAAAATGCACAGTTTCCCGCGATAGTACTCCGGGCGTTGGTGAGAAAAACACAGACAATGCTATTGACTTACTTCAATTGATAACTACGCAAACGTTGCATCTAACAGGGTGATACCACTAATAACGCGCAGTTTGCTACCCGGCTTAAGAGGACATGTTGCTAAGTTTCTCGTGGCTTATGATAGGGCTCTGGGCGGTGGTGAGGAAGGCACAGACACGAACTATATTGTCTATCATATTCCTATACTGGTGGGGTATGCCATCTAAAATGGTGTAATACTTCAGCCGCTGAATCGCGCGCTCAACGTGCACGCGGGCTTCGGCAACTTCCCTGTTGTGCATCACCTCTTGCTTGGTGAACTGAGGCTGAAATAGATACGCAGGTGTGTTGACGGTGACGCCATCAGGTACAATGTCCTTGATAGGAAAACCTTTGTCAGCCAGGATGAGGTCGCCTGTGGTTAGCTGCTCCAACAGGCCGCTAGTCTCCACGATGTGCTTGTCAGAGGCATTGCCGCCGTAAACGTCACTGACAAAGTTCACAGTGCCATTGGGTGCCACCCCAACCATGACCTTGAAGGTGTTGGCAGCTTTGTAAGCACTGTAGGTGCTTGAGCGGCCCTCACAGCTATCAGGTCGCTGAATCCTAATTTCTGTGCAATCAAGTGTCGTCCTGCAGTGCCTGAACTTCCTGAACGATGCTGGCATAGATTGAGAATTCTTTTCTCTACTAGGCATACCCTTCCCAAAAATAGGCTTGAACAGAGCCTCAGCGAAGATGGACACAAATGTCCTGAAGACATTTGTAACGGTGGCTACACTCTTGTTAAATCTCACGCTTAGATCTGTGTGCCCAAAGTTGTGTCGCAGTTTCATCAACACCAGGAGAATTTGGTCCTCTAATGTCATCGTTGTGACCTTGAAGGTGTGGTATGTAAAATCACACATGCTCACATATGTGACTAGAGTTTCAAACATTGCTCTGCTCAAACTAGTATAGTAAGTTACTAGCTGTTCGCTATGGCTAATCTGGTTGTAGCAGAACCTCTGCTGCTGATAAGCTGCTGCAGTTTCAAGTCGTTTGATATGCTGTTTGAGAAGCTCGTTCTCGGCAGACAACATGGCCTCACTATGCACAGGTGGTCCAAGGACAGCATCTTCCATTTCCACAGCTGCATCTTGTCTTCTGTTTCCAGGAGAAGAGTGATGGGGTCTGGTATCATCAGGCAAGTTGATCCGCTTCCCTTCATTCCATGGAAACCTCATTGGACCTGCTTTTTTGCCATTAGGGAAGTGCCACGAACAGATCCTTGTGTGTTCGGTAGGGGTGAAGTTCTCCCTCCTGCAACAGAAAAAAGGGATTACATGATGATTTAGATTAGGCATGCATGATTAGGATGACGCAAGTTACAAGCCCTTCAAGTAGAAAATATCCACAAAAACAGGTTCATGCGATTGTTTCTGAAATGAAGCTTGCCAGTTTATTAATAATTTTCAATTTGAATGTTACAAAATGTAAATGTTTCAATGTTCATATCCAAAACATACAACAGACTTGGTAAATATATTTGTGCTATGACTACTGTTACTGCTATTTATGGAGTACCTACGCACCATGCACAAGTGATTGACGATCAAGGCTCTGAGTTAACCTTGTGAATCATTCCGTAATGATGCCAAAAATAAATATTTATCATTATCTGATATTATATACTCTATAGCTTTTATAGAAATAGTTAACAATAATTTGATGTTTTTATTAAAAGGTAAGATGCCATATTTCCCTTGCACGATTTATGGAAAAGATTTATGATGGGATTTATGAAAGCTTGACATGTAAAATATGCTGATTCTCAAAATTCTTACTAACCTTATCGCACGAATGTAGCGTTGACGGATCAGTTTGTTGCTGGGAAACCTGTAGAACGCATATTTGTTTTTGTCCCCTGACCGGTTCGTACAGCCTGGGACACAGCAATTCACCATCTCGATGTTCAAAGCTTAAAACAAGCGTGCGTCTTGTGATAGCTGACCTGAGGTCTGAGAAACAAGTAGGTATATCTAATTAATAACCCACTCCAATTCACTACCTATTCACAGCTAGTACATTTGCCCATTGGTGCCCGTGTTATAAACGTAATGGCGCAATGTCTTACCTGCGCCAAAATCGCACAAGTTTTTTTAATTTAGCAGCCGTGCAAAAAAATCATGTTTTTTGTGCAAATCAATGAATATAAATGCATTTAAGTTGACCAAAATGACAACTTAATACCATTTCCATTATTGAAACATGACATAACATCGGTAAACGTCCCCAAATTCTTGCATTTTAGTTATGAATCGTTTGGCCTATCTCTACAACATTAGCGCAGTCAGCTGTTGGAACCGTGACGTCATCACTTAACAGCCCTATACTGTTGTCGTAATGGGTGGTTCCGGCGCACGATTGCCGCGACCTTGGCGGCGGCATTAAGTGACGTATGAGCCTAAAAGTAAGAGTTTACGCAGTCATGATAGTATATATATTTTTGATATATATTTTTTCAATATGATGTATTTAAAAGAAGTTGGGTTTAGGAAAAATTTGGACATTAACTTCGAACATTTAGCTGATGACGTAAAACAATATTGCGGCAATCGTGCGCCAGAATTGCCCCTTACGTCAGCAGTATGACGTCATCACATTACGTCAGCTCGCGCAATTTGATAGTGGCGTGCTGCTATCACCGGTGAAACAGGGCCCAGAGCTCAGGACAAATCTTCGTATGGCATTTCTTCGTCGCGCAATTCTTCGTCCGCATTTCTTCGTCCGCAAATCTTCGTCGGCGCATTTATTCGTGTCGCATTATTTCGTCTCGCATTTCTTCGTAAGCGCAAATATTCGTAGCGCATTTCTTCGTTTCCGCATTTCTTCGTCGGCGCATTTCTTCGTCAAGCATTTTTTCGTCCACGCATTTCTTCGTCTACGCAAATCTTCGTCCGCATTTCTTCGTCCACGCAAATCTTCGTCTGCGCATATCTTCGTCCGCAAATCTTCGTCCCCGCAAATCTTCGTCCGCAAATCTTCGTCCGCATTTTTTCGTCCACGCATTTCTTCGTCTACGCAAATCTTCGTCCGCATTTCTTCGTCCACGCAAATCTTCGTCCCGGCAAATCTTCGTCCGCAAATCTTCGTCCGCAATTCTTCGTCCGCATTTTTCGTCCACGCAAATCTTCGTCCGCAAATCTTTGTCTGCGCATATTTTCGTCCGCAAACCTTTGTCTGCGCCATCTTCGTCTCCGCAAAAATTCGTCCACAAATGTGGTTCAATAAAACCATGAAGAAATATCAGACCATCAAGTGATTGACGAATTTAATGCATGGAATGGATGATCGAAACTTTTGAAGTCAGGTAGATGAGGTCTGTCAGGTGAAGCTATTGTATTTGGGAGCCGACAATTGTAACATTCCATATCATTTGTGTCCCGGACATTCTTTTTTCGCGGTCGATAAATGACAACCCAGTAAACATGCCGACGTCGGCCCGACGTCGGGCCGAGGCTCGGCCCGATGTCGGCCCAACGTCGGTTCAACCTCGGCCCGACATCGGCTGGACGTCGGATATGCCCGCATGTTCCGACGTCCAGCCGAAGTCCAGCCGACGTCGAGCCGACGTCGGGCCGAGGTCGTTTGCCGAGGTTGACGAGATCGTTCGTCGTTGGACCGACGGGGCCGACGTCGGCATGTTTATTGGGACAACGCGCCAAAAATATCAACCGGCGGCGGGATTCGAGCCCCCCAGTCGCCGACGTCGGCATGTTTACGGCAAAAGCATCAGCCGG